ATTGAAAAGTCGTGCTAGTAAACAGTTGCTTTCGTTCATTCATCTTCAAGCCTGTACGATGACATGGAGCATAAAAGGGCCAGTTATGTGCAGTGTTTTTATGGTCCTCAGGTTGGGGGGGGGAGTGGAATTCGTCATCTCGGTGTTTCCTCATCTCCTCCATTAATTGATTGTGCCTGATAGATTCTAGGCTGATTGCTTAGACAGTCTTGCTTGGACACTCAGCTTTCTGTATCAGTATTGGTGGATTCCATACGTTGCAATAGGCTAGGTGGGAAACACGACCCAAATGTGTGTGGCTAAAAGGCCCCTCTCCTATGCGGGTTCGAATCCCGCCGAATGCCGCGAATTTCTTTCACAATTGGGTCAACTAAATTAACCAAATCTGTCAAACCAACTTAATAACCAAACCAACTAAATAATTTAGCTCACAGTTAGGGGCGGGGCCCCCAGCTCAGATGGTTAGAGTCTTGGCTATTCTCAAACCTTAGCCTGACTGTCTTGGGTCCGAATTCAACCGAGAACACCGAGTTTATCCCATCTGGGTCAAACAAATTATTCAAATCGACCAAACCACCAAGTAAGTAGTCTGTGGAATGTCTAAACCCAAATGACACGGCTGCCTTGTTACGGTAGCTGAGGAATATTAAAACGTGCAAAGTTCTCTTTACTTCCCTGCGATGCGTTGCTTCTAGTTCCCCAGACTGTACTTCCAACCAAACGCATTTATGACTAGTATCTGTCAATGTTTTTACTGGACATTTGTTGTCTGAAAGGATTATCCGATCACTTGCGCACCATGACCAACGGCCTAGTCAGTAGCACACAAAATTCAATTTGTGTGGTGTCTGCAGTATTGCTCCTACGGTTAGATTAAACAATGGCAATGTCATCCATTCAAATTGGTGTTTTTCACTTGTGCGTGCTTTACAGTTACCCGAGAGAGTTCGTGCGTCGATGCATAAGACGAAAACAGCTAAAACAAAAAGAAAAGGAACCAGGTTGCTCAGATCAGGCGCCCAATCCAAGAAGTTGGCGAACACTTCCGGATATAAAGAACGTGTCTGAACTCGTTGAAAAACACCTGAGGAAGTATCAAATCCAAGTGGCGCAAAAATCAACGAATACTCTGCAAAATCGGCTTGTTACCCCAAAGAAAGGGTTGGCTATTTGGACAGAAAAGAGATCGCCAGTAGTAGAGAATATTCAAGTCCCAGGAGATCGTTTATAAGATCCCTTTTAGCGGTTGCAATGCAGTTTATTCCGGACAGACAGGACGATCAGCCTCCACACTTTTACGCAAACATCAACGAGCGGTAAAGGGGCGATATCACTTGTCCAAAGTCGCCATGCACATATTAGAAACTAGACACCAATTTGCATGGGATGAAACTTGCATTGTTGGCTCCTGTTCATACAAAAAAGGCCGCGAATTTTTAGAAGCCATCAACTCCGACGACTAGTGCGCCAACAGGCACGTCAAATTGGACGCGATGTACACCAACCTCAGGGGAGCCTGGGGGAGACGACAGCCTATCCGGACTAGAGGAAGCAAAAACCAGCCACCACCGACCACACGATTAATTGCGGTCGA